CGATCGGTCTTCCGTTCAGATTCGAAGCACTACTCTATATACTCTGCTGAGTTGAAGGTGGCGCCGATACACCCTGCTGGGTTGAGGCTAATGGTTCGAATCTCGTTTGTGATCTCGGGCTCACGGCGTTGCCGTGATCTTAGGAGCGACTCGACCGTCTCCTCAGAGCTTCGAGCTCCCTTGTTGCCCAAGTGTCCGTAGGGGGCCTTGGCAATTTAGGAGCGGCTCGGTCGCAGTCCTAGAGCGTTCGCGCTCCTTCGCCCAAGTGTCCGTTGGGAACTTGGCTTTCTCGCAGGAGCGACTCGGTCGTCCTGCGAGCCGGAGCTCTCGGAGCTCCATTCCCACGCGTCCTCGGGACCGTGGCTGGCTATTGGCCGTTACGTCCGGAAGGGCAGGCCATCCGAAACGACGGAGGTCGTTTCGTTGCACGTCCTTGGCGTGCTCCGGGTGCCGCGCACCGTTGACGTCACGGACGTGTGTCCTGCGGGACCTTGCGTAAGCGACATTGTTCGCTTGTACATAGTTGCGTCGTTCTCCTGCGTTGTTCCACTTGCGTTTTACTACATTACTTCCGCGACATTCTATTGCGTCTACTGCGTTCGTTGCGTTTTACTTCGGCGTCTCTACATCCTTGCGTGCGTGTCCTCTCTCTCTCTCTCGCGATCGCTTCGCCGCAGTCCCTGAGCGCGGTGCGTTGGCGCGCGATGTTGCGTGTTCAGCAGGGTCCGTGGTCGCCTTACGGGACCCCGGCTTTCGATCAGGACGACCGGTCGGTCGTCGAGCGGACTCGAGCGAACTTGGACGCAGGCGGACGTCGCTCTGCGATCCCTTATTTCCAGCCAGCTCTCCGGAGCTATCATATGTTCGGTCTTGTTCCGAACAATTACATTTTCTTAGAAATTAATACATATACACATATTAAATATATAGTTTCATTAATTAGAGGAATTTTAATATAGAAACTTTCATAAGGGGAATATTTTGCTTTCACATTTCAGTTGGTAAACCTGTTTATTTACATTTAGGTTATGTCGAGAACAGTCCTTGAAGTGTTAATCTCGAAGATTTCTCAATTTTAAGATATTGTATTAATCTGATTGTGAAAGTGTAAAATAAAGTCAGTGTTAAAAAGGCAATATGCCAAAAATCCGAGAACTTTCTGAAGGTGAAAGGGCACAGATCGTCCTTTTAGTCTCTCAAGGCATAAGCCAAGTGAAAATTGCGCAAAAAATGAAATGTTCTCGTTATTCGGTGCAATCGACCTTAAAACGATTTAAGGAGACTGGGAAACACGCAAATAAACCCCGCTCAGGTAAAAATCGCATAACTTCGAAACGAGAGGATCGTTACTTATACGCCATTCTTTAAAAAATCGCCGCAAGACGTCTAGTGAGCTCGCTGTTGATCTCAATGAACAAGGAGATATAATAATTTCTGCACGAACCATTAGAAGAAGGCTTCGGGAAGCTGGTTTAAAAGGTTGCATAGCAAGAAAAAAACTGTGGCTCTCAGAGCGTAATAAAAAGAAACGCTTAGAATGGGCCCAAGAACATAAGAATTGGAGTGAAGATGATTGGGTTAAAATTATTTGGTCAGATGAATCCAACTTTGAGGTAAGTTTCCATTACATCTTTATTTAAAAATATAATAGGAAATATGAATTAAAATAATAAAGTAATGTAAAGGAAACAGAGATAAAAGTTTGTGATATTTTTAACGTTATGTTTTACAGATTTTCGGGACTTCTGGCGCGATTTTCATTCGAAGGAGGGTCGGGGAAGCATATCATTCTGATTGTGTAGTGCCTACGGTCAAACATGGTGGCGGAAGTGTTATGATTTGGGGTTGTATTGCAGCAGAAGGTGTTGGTCAAATGTTTGTATGCGAAGGAAAAATGAATAGCAACAAATATATTTCAGTTTTGGAGGCTTCACTGGAGAGTTCCTACATTAAAATATTTGGAGACGAAGATCATTCTTCGATAATATTCCAACAGGATAATGCTCCATGTCATACATCTAAAACAACGAGAGATTGGTTGATAAAAAACAATATCCGAGTTTTGGATTGGCCTGCACAGTCCCCTGACCTAAATCCTATTGAACATTTGTGGTCAATATTAAAGAGAAGGATCAAGAAACATAGAGTATCATCGCTAGAGAATTTAAAGTTCATTTTACGCCAAGAATGGGAGAACATTACTCCTGCTGTATGTAAAAAATTAATGTATAGTATGTCAAAAAGAGTACAAGCAGTACTGAAAGCTAAAGGAGGAGTAACAAAATATTAAAACTGCTATGAAAATAAACATTATTTTTCTATAAAATTGTTTCTTATAATATATTGTTGTTTGTTAACAAGTTTAAATTATTTTTTCAAGGTGCTTTATACTTATGGCCAAGGCTGTATCTGTGATCAGATAACGTCTCGCCTTCGGTCACCATCGCCTATTCCCAGAAAATCCGGGCAGCCGAAGGGGAAGCCCAGGTCAAATCAATGACCGACTCCCTGTTCAGCTGCACACAGGTGCTGGCCGACCCCCTGTTCATCAACAGGAGGCCGAGTCCCGCCGCCTAGCCGATCACTGCGTCCCGAGGATCCCCCTGCCGGAGGCTGCAACCCCACTCCATGGAGTGGGCGTGACGCCATACTCCTGTAATCTTGTAAATAGTGCTTGCAAGTGCTTTGTATTGGGTGAGTGCAAAAGTTCGTGCGGAGTTTGTGAGTAAAAGTCACACAGTGATTAGGCAAACAAAAATCTTTATTCAATCAATGATATATTCTCCATCGTTTTCTATAATCTTTTCCCAACGTTCTGGCAGCATACGGATGCCTCGATCATAAAAACTGCGCGGTTTAGATTCGAAGAACGAAGAGACGCCGTTTTTTAAGACCTCCAAAGAGTCAAAGTTTTTTCCATTTATATAATTTTGCAATGACCGGAACAAGTGATAGTCAGATGGTGCGATATCAGGAGAATACGGTGAATGCGTTAAGACATCCCATTTCAGGCTCTTCAGTTTGCGCAGCGTCTTTTTCGAAACGTGTGGTCTGGCGTTGTCGTGATGAAAGACGACTCCCTTGCGATTTGACAAAATCGGACGTTTCTCTTTTATTTCTCGATTCAGATTGGTTAATTGGCGACAGTACTTGTCCGAATCAATCGTTTCGCCAGCGGGGAGAAGCTCGAAATAGATTATGCCCTTGCAATCCCACCAAATAGAGAGCATCATCGGGTGCAAACTGGCCTTTGGCATTGCGTCACCATGCTCACCTGATTGTTTCCATGTCCGTTTGCGCTGAACATTGTTGTAGAGGACCCATTGCTCATCGCCCGTCACTAGTCGATCCAAAAACGACTCGTTATTGAACCGCCCGAGTAAAGAAACGGCTACAGAAATTCGCTTGATTTTGTTCTTCTCGGTCAGCAAATGGGGCACCCATATATCGAGCTTCAAATCGAATCCCATCTTTTTTAAACGCCGAAAAGCGGTTGATCGGTCAACGTTTAGTGCTGTAGCAACTTCTTCTGTTGAAATTCGCGGATTATTGAGCACTAAAGTACGCAAAACATCGTCATCAATGTCAGAAGATCGACCAGAGCGTGGCTCGTCTTCAAGGTTAAATTCTCCGCGCCGAAATTTAGCAAACCATTTTTCCACAGTTCGTTTAGGTGGTGCTTCATCCTGATAAACATCCTGAATGTTTTTTACGGCTGCGGCAACGTTTATTCCCTTCCGAAACTCGTAAAGCATAACATGCCGTAAATGCACCTTATCGATACTCATTTTTAAAGTGATATTTCTCGAAGCAGTTTGTATGAAAACAAATGATTTTTTTTTAATAACAGCTGAAGACGTCACCTCTCCAACGTTATATAATATGTAGATGGAAGTATTAATGACAACACTTTACGACGCTTATAACTCCATCTATTGAAACTCCGCACGAACTTTTGCACTCACCCAATATGTTCTTCTTCGTTTAAGGATGCGACCAGTATGTCATCGATATATGCGTATCAAAAGTTTAATCCATGTAGAACTTCGTTGATAAACCGTTTGTGCTAAAAGGTTTGTGCTGCGTTGCTGAGTCCGAAAGGCATGTAGAGAAATTCAAAAAGTCCGAATGGTGTTGTTACAGCCGTTTTTTTGGATGTCATCAGGATGTACTGGAATCTGATTGTATGCTCTTACAAGATCAATGGTTGAGAAGATCTTCTTATCGTGCAAGCTTTGCGAGAAGTCTTCGATGTGTAGAACTGGATACCGATCTGATATTGTTTTTGCATTGAGTCTTCGATAGTCTCCACATGGTCGCCAAAACTCATCTTTCTTGGGTACCATGTGTAAAGGAGACTTTTTGCCCAGGGACTTTTTGAGGGGCGGATGATGCCGTCTTGTAGGAGCAGATTGAATTCTACTTTTGCTGCTTATAGTCGGTCTGGAGCTAATCGTCTTGGTCGGCATGTCTCCGCTGGTTCCTTGGTTGTTTTAATATGATACACTGTTGTGTGCTTCATTTTCCTTTGAGGGGTGTTTGGTCTTGTGATTTCCGGAAACTTTTTTAGTAATTGGTGATACGCGTCCCCGGTGCTGAGGTTCTTCACTGATTGCTCATTGCTGCCTCGGAACGTTCCATTTGTTGTAAGGCCAGTTGTTCCATCGACGAGTTTCCTTGCTCGAATATCCGGTAGGAGATTGAAGTAGGCTAAGAAATCTGCTCCGATGATGGGATGGGACATATTGGCAATTATAAATCGCCATGGGAATGCGCGTTTAAACCCCAGGTCTGGTTTCGTTGCAATCCAGCCATAAGTGGGTATGGAGGTTCCGTTTGCCGCAAATAGAATGAGCGTCGTAGGATGACGGGACCCTTGGATTGCTTGGTGTGCGGATATACGCTGATATCGGATCCTATGTCGATGAGGAATGATCTTTTGGTTTTTCGACACGTGATAAAAAGGCGGCGTGACTCATGGGCAGTATCACCAGCCGCCATTAGTGACTGCCCTGTACTTTTGGGATTTGGTAGGTGCAAGGTTGTGCACACTTTTGGGCTTTGTCCCTAAATCGTCGATGATAGTAGCATATCGTGGGTTGAGTTTTCTTTTTCTCTCGAGATCGGCTACGTCGGCGATCGCGTTGCTGTGGTTGATTCCACCATTTGTCGAGCTCTGCTACTTGCAGAATGAGTTTATTGAGTTGCTCGATTAGGTTTTTTTCTATGGAAGTCGTGGTGACTTCTGCTATAGATCGTCCGGTTACTTCTTGTATTCGATCCGCTTGTTCTGCAATATCCTCAAGGTGGTCTTGTGCTCGAGTAGCTAGGATTACTTGCATTTGTGCTGGTAGACGTTCTAACCATAATGTGCGTAGAAGTGCTTCGGGAATGTTTACTGCTAGACCTCGTAGGTGTCGTAAGAATTGTGAGGGTTTTCTTTCTCCAAGCTCTTCATGTTCCAGCTCTTCGTGTTCATTGTTCCTGTGAGGCTGATACGCGTTGTATTAAAGCTCGTTTTAAGGTGTCATATTTGTCTGCCTCGGGTGGATTTATAATTACGTCTCTGACCTCTCTTGCGTATCTTGCATCAAGTTATAATAAAGTTGTAATAAAGGATCAAATGCACATAGAACACATAAACTGCATTTCTGCTGCGCAGCTCTTTGAAATCGTTCCGTTTTATCAATGCACATGAAGCGCTTTAATAATTCGGAACGGTTTCTTACGCATTCTATGCGCTAAAATGGACGCCAATCAAAATATCAACAACATCAAGTTATAATAAAGGAGAGTACGTGAGCATATTTGGTAGAGTCCTGTGTGACTCCACTGAGAGTGAACTGGCTTTCTAATTGGGCGAACCAGAGATCTGGTTCATTAGGCCAGAAAGGAGGAGCACGGAGAGCGACCTTGTCGATGTTGGATCCCGGTCGTCGTGTTTCACGGGAGTTTTCGTTGGATGTTCCAGGTCCATCTGTTTCCCTTATTGGTGATCTATTGATCGGCATTTTTGATGTGATAACTTATTCCTTTTGTCGTTGGGAGCCTATCCCTTTTATCGGGATCACCAATTTTGGTGGTCGTTCTCCGTGCTCCTCCCTTCTGTATTTCTGTAACTACGCATATTTTTTATCGTGGGGACTGCGTACGCGTTGTCCCTGTTTTTCTTTTTATTTTGATCGTAGTTGGAAAATGACGTGTGGACGTACCTTAATTTGTCCGGAGCCATATATTGAACTGAACTGAACTGACATTGTGTTATAGCTCGCAGCCAGCGCGATGCATGATGTGATATGCGATGCGCGAAAATCAATGAGCGTACAGCTTCTTCGGAGTACCAGTACGATTATTTCAAATGTATGTCACGATATTTTGACGCTTTACACAATACTGCGATAGTATTGTAGTAATAGTGCAAATTAATATCTTTGCAATATAGCTACAATGTTGCAGAAGTAATGTTGCACAATATTATTTTTGCAATTTTGCAGCAATATTGCACTGCAATATGCAATTTTGCAACGTTGCAGCAATATTGCTGCAGCTTCTGTGTTGTATGGGATTTTTGACCTCGAAAGTTTTAATATCTCTACTTGAGTACAATATCTATGTATTAAACTGTTCACTTTTCTCCTTGCAAACACTCGACAATCCATTGTATAATTTTGCACGCTGATTCGTAAAAATTTCAAACAAAGAAATATTTTCGAAATCAGATGGATATGTCAATTCTCTTGCCAGAAGATGAATATCTCAAATTACTGATATCATTTAAATTATTAGCGTTAATAAAATTATTTAATATTAATAATAATTAAAATATAATAATTATTGTATATTAACATTTACAACGCATATGCATATGTATATTGATAACTGAATATGAAAATTATAAAATTGAATATAAAAATTATAAAAATGGCCACCCCCATTAGCGTCATTTTGTATCATTGCTAGAAGTTGTCCGTGCAGTCTCGAAGGGTGTGTTCCGAAATGCGCATAGAACGTATAGACTGCATTTCTGCTGCGCAGCTCTTTGAAATCGTTCCGTTTTATCAATGCACATGAAGCGCTTTAATAATTCGAAACGGTTTCCTACGCATTCTATGCGCTAAAATGGACGCCAATCAAAATATCAACATCAAAAACCGAATTCCAATAATTGTAAATTTGTCAATGTTTTTGAAAAAGAATAATGAAAGTGATAGCTCCTAATCGAGCGACAGTGAAAATGAAGATGAAGATATATCTCTAAATGATATGCAGACATTGTTTTCTATATTAATGTCAGATAAATGTGGAGAACAAATTATAATTGAAAAACTTACGGATTACGTCGATCGCGTGATTCCTAATTACACTAATGTTATATTCAAAGAACATTTTAGGTAAATATTTCAATATAAATGTCATTAAGTTAATATTTTTTCTGGTTTTATTAAATTTATTTTATTTATAATTTAACCTATTAGAATGTACCCGGCTACATTTGAAATGATTTTATCATTAATTGGGCCAGCATTAAAAGTCACAAATACCACGACTGGTAGAAAATCAATTTCAGCAGAGAAGCAACTATATATTGCTCTATGGTTTATGACTACTCCTGATTCATATAGGTATGTAAAATCCAACAATGTTCTATACGTATAACTATTATTACATTTATAACACTTTTTACTAAGCATTGAATGCTATATCGTTAAGTCTATTCTGTAACTCTTAACGACAGTTCAGCATCGATATATTGTTGTTGCGCTTTTTTGTCGTACATGTTATATGTGCGTAACGACAGTATAATATCGACACTGTCGTTAAAAATTACAGAAAAATTTAATTGACACCATCTCTTGTAGTTAATGCCGAATTTTTGTATCAAAATAAAACACATTGTCGTTATGTAATGTGGCATCAATATAGTTAATAAAAGACGCTTAGATTATTTTGTGACGAGCTTTTCGTTATTTACTTTTCTTACTTTCTGAACTGTTACAGATCTATTTGTGTCAAATTTGGAATTGGTAGAGCAACTGCTTTCAGGGTTGTAAGACGTGTTACTTACGCACTTCATTGCATTGCACCTCGATTTATAAAATGGCCCAAGTACACTGTTGCCACTGATATTATGGAACATTTTAAAAAAACTTGTGGTTTTCCAAATGTCATTGGTGCTATAGATAGAACACACATTAAAATTCGAGGTCCACCAAATATGATACAGTTTCTTACATTAACCGGAAAGATTTTCCATCCTTAAGTGTTCAACTTATATGTGATTCACATGGCATCTTTACACACTGTTATACAGGAGAAGTAGGATCAGTTCACGATGCTCGAGTTTTCAGAAATTCTCCAGTAGCACGTTTTTTAGAGATGCCTGACATATATTTCCCTAATGACTCCCATATTATCGGAGATGCTGCATATGCAATTCATTCACACCTCATACAGCACAGAAGCTGTAGCAACATTGTTGTAACATTGCAAAATTGCATATTGCAGTGCAATATTACAGCAAAATTGCAAAAACAATATTGTGCAATATTATTAGGTTGTTCGGAAAGTTCGTTTCAAATCTTTGAAATAAATTAAGAGCGCAATATTTTACACAAAGAGGAACTTTATTGAAGCAAATATGTACCGTTTTGTTCAACGACCTTGGCCCATCTTTCAGGAAGCTGCATGATGCCTTTGCTCCAAAATAAAGGTTTCTTATTGACGAAGAATTTATCAAGATGACTTTTGAGGACTTTCAAAGATTCGAATTTCTTGTCCCGAAGAAAATTTTTTAAAGAAAGAAATAGATAGTAGTCAGATGGGGCAAGGTCGGGAGAATATGGAGAATGAGGAAGAACGTCCCATTCGAAGTCTAACAGCTTCCTACGGCTAGACATTGCGACGTGAGGTCTGGCGTTATCATGATGGAAAACAATTCCACGCCTGTTGGCCAATTCAGGGCGCTTCCGTGCGATGGCAGTCTTCAGTTCGTCCAGTTGAAGGCTGTACTTCGCCGCGTTGATGGTTTCGTTTGGTTGAAGAAGCTCATAATATACCACGCCCTTAAAATCCCACCAGATACTCAGAAGAACCTTTTTCGCGTGAAGCCCCGGCTTGGCCACTGTTTGCGTAGACGCGTCGCTGGTTCCCCACGACCTCTTGCGGCTAACATAATTGTATAGGATCCAACTTTCATCGCCTGTTATGATCCTCTTCAAGAACGGTTCTTTTTGGTGCCGTTGAAGCAGCATATCGCAGACGTTCACACGTTCCAGCAACTGCCGTTCATTCATTTCGTGTAGCACCCACACATCCAGTCGACTTGAGAATCCTAGCTTCTTCAGATGGTCATGCACGGTGGAAACAGACGGTGGAAACAGACTTGTGCAGAGTGTCGGCGAGTTCTCTAACTGTCACTCGAGGATTTTCGTGCACGAGATCCATAAGAAGCGTTTCATCAACCTCCTGAGGCCGGCCTGAGCGAGTTTGATATTCCATGTTGAAATCGCCAGCTTCGAATCTTCGATACCATTTTCGAACTGTCTAGTGAGTGACGCAGGTATCTCCATATACTGAAAACATCTCATTCAGGGTCTGCGAAGCCGTGAAGCCACGTTTAAAGCAATATAGCATCACATGACGAAAATCGACTTTTTGGTTCTCCATTTTTCAAACTGATTTCTGACGAAATAGTTGCACTTAGGAAGATCTGCGAAGTTTCCTTAGCGGGCTCATAGATCCGGGAATGTTTGTTGACAAACATAAAATCGTTTAGAGCGCCCTCGTTCTTACTGATTACATAGAAATGTGGAGCGCGCGAAATTTGGAACGAACTTTCCGAACAACCTAATATTTCTGCAATATTGCAGCTATATTGCAAAGATATTAATTTGCAGTAACAATTGAATATCCGTGAACGAATGTCCTATGCGACGCTAAACGTTTTAACCTCCTCTTTTTATCTCCTCTTTTAACCTCTATTCGTTAATAGATGTTACAAAAAAACTTGACTGCGATTGTTCAATTTGTAAAGCTTACGGCTTAAATCACCAAATGTTAGACTAGTTAGGGTTAAAGTCGGTCTTAACTCCATGACTCATTGTAAAACCAGCTTGTCGTCATGCTATATCAATATTCTAATTAGTGAAGAAGACCTTGTGCCTCCATCGAATCAACAGAGACCTGGTCACGTGATCAGTTTGCCACTCTCTCCCTTTGAGACTCTCTAGCTGGAAGTTGGAATCTCCTTACAGTGTCTGTTACGTAGCTGGAGAAAAGAGGCATGTAAATACATTTGATTATTGTAACAAAGACGTTATTGTAACATCTTTCGATCAAACTGATCTAGATCGCAGTCATATTTTCATCTCAAACGAGAAAGAACGCTTATCGACATATAATGGCAATGTAAATATCGTTTTGCAACGCAATTCACTCCGTAAAATATTACAATTCGTCCCTTTATATTTTATTTAGTCAAGTTGCAGATGACACAAATGTGTGTGTTGAGAAACTGACGGAACCTTATAACCTTTCTAAAAGGCCTCATTGGAACCACCGTACTCAGAAATTGTATTTTGTCGACCTATATAAGTATACAGGGTGGACCATTTTAACCTTTAATGGAGAATAACTCGACCGGTGAACGAAATAATGAAAAAAGTTTCATACAAAAGTTGTTGGACAAGGAGGGGGACGTATGACCATATCCTTGAATTTGACCTTGACTTTGACCTTAGGGGTTATTTGAAGGTCAAATAACATTTTTTAATTGGAATTGCCTATTTTCGACCCCGGATTTGGAAAGAGCGGGAAATTTTAGAATAGGATATGGTATGATCGATAAGATCAAATGTCATGTTTTGAGGTCATTTCAAAGTCAAAAGGAACTTGTACCTGTATTCATGCGAAAATCGTATCTGTATACGGGGATTTCTAAATTATCTTCTACACTTAGCATTACCCAGAGACAACGACGTGAATGTGGTAGAATTCTGCCTCTTTCGGGGTG